GAGCAGACTGCCGCGCCGCCGCGTGCCCCCCCCCCAACTAAGTTAGCACCCATTTTTCTAGGTCTAGCTTGCATTTAGAAGTATTCCTATTATCAGTTACACATGTAAATCACTATCAAGAAACAGATTTATCATTCTCAGCTTTAATTGTCTTTTTTCTTAGATGAATGCAAATAGCCAACCAATGTTTTCGGGAGGAGAATTCCATCAGCCGATGCAGCCGCAGCACATAATTCCGCAGTCAAGTTAGTTTCAGGCCTCTACTTAGTTGATGCACATTTCTATACGGGTGCGGCCGCAATGTTGTCGCTCACTGAAATAAATCAGATGCATTCCACTTTTCTCGGGTTTGTCTCGTTGTGTTTGTTTTTTGAACAATTTGAATGTCAAAATTTTCAAGTCTTTCAATTGATCTTAAGCGGGTCCTTTCATTTGAACTATTTCAGTGGATATGGGTGGAATGATGAATCAACAACAGCAGCAGTATCAACAACAGCCTATTTTTGCGGTAATTTGTTTCGAGAATTAGTTTCCATAGCACACTTTTTACTACTGCCTTTTTTCAATCACTATCGTTACTTTGTGTAATTTACGTAAACTTTTTCTATGCAGAGCCAACCAATGCCAGCATCTATGCCAGTTTCCGCTCAACAACCGATGAACATGATGCAAGGAGGTCAACAGTTCCAACATCAAAACATGGGTAAGTAAATAAATAGTTTCAAGGATTTTTTCTTTGATTAACCTTCATTCCTTCATTGGGTTGTATGTCCGGCCTCGGATATGCCTCGTTTTTCTTATTGATCGGTGCGCTCATAACGTCGAATGAGTACCAAGTGGCGTCTCGCGCTCGACATTTCTCGTGGTATTACCTTTCCATTTAAATTGCCAGCCATCTTTGTCTCACTGTTGTGTAGGAAATTGTGACAGCCCAAGCTCTCTTATATTTCTTATGCTTCTTGCTTCATTTTTAAGTTATGTATGATTTGGATTTAGACTTGTTTTTGTTTGTTAACTGCTGTTTTTGGCCGCAGTTCGCCTTGCGAATGTTTCACAAGAATGCTGGGTTGTGAACAAAACTTTCGCCCCAGGCGGGACTAGAACCCGCACCTCTCGCTTTCCGGGCAAGTGCGCTACCAGTTACGCTACCGGGGCACCATTTCATCCCAACTCAGTTCTTTAAGAGCTTTTGCCGTTCCTCTTTAAGAGCTCTTTTGAAAGCTGAGTTGGAGATGAAATGGTGCCCCGGTAGCGTAACTGGTAGCGCACTTGCCCGGAAAGCAAGAGGTGCGGGTTCGAGTCCCGTCTGGGGCGAAAGTTTTGTTCACAACCCAGCATACTGTGTGTGATGCGAACTACTAAAACCTAATTCTTTGAATTACAAGTCAGTACGACTTGCAGACATCTAGCCATGCTCCACTGCGCGTTTACCATGCCGTCAGCCTCTTGATGGGCACTCTTCTGACTCTGGCAGAGCAGAGCGAACAGGTACCCAGGCAGATTTCGTCCCTCTTGGGAGCCTCCTGACCCGTTTCTTTTGTTTCACCTCCCTGCCTTTTTTATTTTCTTCCGTTTTGAACTTGAACCTGCTTTTGCCCATCATATAAGAGAGAAGACTTTCAGCGATCTGGATGTAGGAACCCAAAAAGGACACCTTCCTGTTTTTTGCTTTAAGAACTTGGGGTTTATGTCCTCAAGTGCCCAGATGAATACTGCGAGGTGCTGTTAATCCTGCAGCGAATTCTGCTTGGCAGTGAAGATTGAAAGACGACTGTTCGTGATTCTACTTGTTTCATGTTCAATGTCTATTAGTTCATTGAAATGCTCATGATTCGTTCTGTTGAACTGTGCTGGAGCGTTTTCGAATTTCCCGCTCAAATCTTCGGTCGTGTTCGCCGCGGCGGCTCCCCATAACATGAAAAAAGTAGAGGGGAGGGAGGATGATCGGGCACTTTCAATTCCTTGATCGTCGCAGGCTTCGCGCGGATCGCAAAAATTGCAAGTGCCCCATTTGAACATTTGAAACACTGAATATGAAACAAGTGGAATCATGAGCAGTCATTCAGCCATCACTATCAAGCAGAAGTGGCGGCAGGATTGGAGAACACCTTGCAGTATTGATCGGGCACTTGTGATTTCCGTGACCCGTCGCGTGAATCGCGCAAATCGCGCAAATAAAAATCGCGTGAATCGCGAAAATCAGCGAAACCTGCGACGGATCGCGGACTCTGACACCAGCCTACGTGACGGAAGGCAACATCTTGTGTAATGATGCATAAATTTTAGTGCAGAAATGTTATTTCTCATGGCTAGCTGTCTCAAAAATATAACATAAATTGCGAAGCAGGAATAAGACTTGCGGCAACCTAGTGTATAAGGTTTGAAAAGCAATGCTTTGTTGTTGCTGTTGTTGCCAATGTTCGGCTTCATCTCTTCTGAAGTCCACATTGAATTTTCTTCATTCCGGCCGTGTTAAAGTCACGGATCGGGGTGAGATGCAAAAGTGGTCTCTCTGAAAGTGAGAAAGAAGGCCCAAGCGCAGGAGGTGCGACCTGTCGCGAATGTGAAGTGCGAGGCAACGGCGCTAAGGCCTTGCTTGTGTGCTGCCGTGCTGCCATCCTTATCAATCGCGGCATACGTGGCGTCTGCGCCCTCTCGCGTACGACGTGCTCTCTCGCGTTTTCCCTCTCCTCGCAGCGCTGTGTCTCTCCGTCATACCACGGCCGACCTCCAAGAGGAAGTTTAGTGTTTTCTATGGCGCTTTTTGCGTCTTCTTACCACTGGTGTCCTCATCGCACTTCTTCTAGAATTCTCGAGCAAAATAACACACCAACTTCGGTCCCGACCCATGTATTTGATGGAGTTTTCCCCTTTATTATTATTTTTTCATTTGCTTTCCGATCCGCTCTCACGTAACGGCAAAAAAATTTGGATTCATTAGGAATGATGCACGGACAACCTATGATGATGAGACAGCAGATGCCTCCGTCATTTCAACAACATCCTCAAGGAATGATTCAGCAGCCTGGAGGTAACATTTCGAAGATGTGTGGTTATTTTTTAGGCAGGAATTTCATTAATCAGTCCTTTTTCCTTGGACCAAATTCTATTGTTGGTTGTTCAGACACTCACGCATTGCCTTGACAGGCCACTAGGTGTGATTCGCGTGCGAATCACTGTCTTAACACATTGACGCCCGCGCCGATTTCGGCGCATGTCACACATGTGTCATTGGCGGTATTGCGTGCGCGCATACTCGGCGATGCTTCAATCTCATATGTGGGACATTTCGTGCGTTTCCATTACGGGACCCACATAGCAGATTTGTTGGAAGGGCGCGGGAGCTTTCGTTCCCATACCAATTATGAATTTTTAAGTTTTTGTCACTACGGTGCTTGTCACTACGGTTCATAGGTCCAATAAGTGTTTAGCTTGGTTTCGTACGTATTTCTGTGAGCTAGTAGACGTGTTGATTAGGAAAATTTTTCGATAACAGTTTGTTTTTGGTTGCCAAAGGAACTCGAAGTTTGGAGCGCAATTTGCATGAAAATTTCGTAATTGATGATAAGTTGTTCAGTAGGTAGGCG